ATAAACAAGGATAAAACTAGAAGAAAGTAATATTGCAGACCTTAAAATAATAAATAAGTAAGTATTATTACAATCACACTAATTATATGGACAAGTAAGAAAATGTGTTTCGTAAGAATTTCCTGAACAAACGTTATTGTTCATGAAATAACAATATCTCGAGCTAAAGAATTACGAATATACTCCTTATTAATGGAATGCACATGAAATAACTTGTTACTCGAGTGATGCATGTATAACTTCCATAACTAAATACTCAAAATATAAATAATTCCTTGAGTAAAGCGTGACAATTATGTTCTTTTTAAACTGAAATGAAATACAGAGGCCTCTCGGCTGAGCGGCCAGGAGCGAGTGAACAGCCTCGTCCATTCCCCTAAGCCGGACCACAAAGGCCCGGGGGAGACGGTCCTCACCTCCCTGACGGCCACGCGGACGTCCTTCACCCAGCCCTCCATCAGGGTCGTCCCGTGGGTCCTCAGGTCAATCACGGGGTCGTCTCGCGGGTCGTGGATAAGGATCTTGAAGCCTCGGTCGTTCTCGTAGGATTCGGATTCTTGGTCGTGCAGGAGTAAGTACAAATTGTTGAAGATGCCGGAGATGGCGACGGGCTCACCTGGGGAAGGGAGGCGAGGGCTGAGCTGTGGACGTGCGCCCGTTCAACGTACACACACGCACACATACATACGCAGCAAAAACACATACATAGTTATTACACACACACACATAATTCATCGAAAACAGTAATTACGATAATACAAATCAAGAGCACTGTGCCGTAGTTATAAGGTTCCATTAGCGACTGTGAAAGTATTATATTGTATGCAAAGTCGACATTTATTTCGACTTTGCTTGCATGCATGTACGAGGACGAGACAAGTACTCATACATGCATACTTTTACACATATACAGACGTGGCCATAAAAATAAAGTAACTACAACAACAAAAAGCACCAACCACTTTACAAAACTATAAAGAAAGCTCGCTCCTCGTCACAGTAATGGCACAATCAACTACTTACGCAAAGTGTACTGGTAACAGACACCGAGTACAGTGTACACCGTTGTCCAGGAGCCAACCTCTTCACAGGTGCGCCCGCGGGTAAACCAACACTGCAGGCGATGTTGTTTACATTAAGCTACTGAGTACTAAAGGCAAGGTACATATCAAGGGAGGTTGCGTTATCCCCACCGAGATCTGTGATAACGCAAAACTAAGTATGATTTTTTTCCTTATTGAAAATTTCAATGTAATAAAGATAGTTTAGAAGGCTTAAAATCGTTGATTTTTTGTTGCACTTCTCATACGGATACATACAGTTTATAAAAACAAAGGAATTTGAAACAATTTCTGCCCTCACTGGCTCGCTATGAGGTAATGACGTTGTAACTTGTGAGGTGGGAAAGCAGTCTATTTAATCGTGTAAACATTCTAAGTACTTTTGCATAACGGTGTCTTGTGCTTCACGTTTTTTTTGTATGTTTTGTATGTTGTAATAATTCACAACAGTTCATCGTATTTATGTACTCAACTCACGCATTTTATATGTATTGAAGGCTTAATGCTGGTTACGTTATTTGAAAATAATTTGACTAGACTGAATTAAGGATCTCTACGAAAAAGCTAAGGTATAAGTGGTTGTAAGACATATATATATATATACATATATATATATATATATATATATATATATATATATATATATATATATATATATATATATATGTTTCCTTCTGCTCCACAAAATTTATTTCATTCTGGCGGCTGTATATGGTAGGGAACACTTTGTTATTATAAATAAAAGAGGGGAAATTTTGTTTTACATCTAGAAATTATGAAAATATCGAGTTATACAATCAGTTGTGGATCTAGCTATATCTAATATCTTATGACACGCCCTGATTGACTAAACGTGATGACGTCATTAGTTCCGCCCCTTTTTTTATCCGGTCAATCTGTGCGATTTTCTACGCTAAGTGTTTCTTCAGAACATTCTCTTTGGAAACAGTTCAGCAATAACAACAGGGAAAATATCGGAAAACAAACCAGGAAAGAAAGAAACATACAAACAAATATACAAAAAGGCAGTTGATATTTTAAATGAAGGAAAGCAAAGTGGCAAGACTTGGCTCGATAGTTGCTAACTAGGATTATCATCGAAATTTTATTTGTATGAAAGTACCTTGATTGAAGGCTAATGAAACAATGTAATAAAATGAAAATGTATTATGAATGTAATGGTTTATTGGCAATACTGCTGTTATTATCGTTATGTAATTATATATATTTTTAAAATTATCTGTTTTACCATTATTAATTATTCTCGTCGCTCCTCCTCCTCCTCCTCCTCATCATCATCATCACCATCATCATCATCATTATCATCATCATCATTATCGTCATCATCTTCATCATTATCACCATCACCATTATTATTACTATTAATATTATAATCATTATTATTATCATTAGTGGTAGTAGCTGTAGTATCATTTATT